TGGGCACAGCATCAAGAATAATATATAAAATCAATCTTAAAAATGGCACTAACATGTAAAATAATGGGAAAATAAAAAAGGTTTTGGACTGGGGCTGTGATGAAAAAAGTGTTGGCAGCAGGAACGCCTCTATGCATAGCCCATTCCAGAGCTGGGGCACCACCACAAAGAAGGCCCTTATCTAGGTAGCAACTCTTCTGATCTCTTTCAATAAGGGCCCCTGAAGAAGGACCTCTGCTGCAGATCTTAGAGGCCAGGCAGATGTATATGAAAGAGGCATTCCTTCAAATATCCAGATCCAAATCCATTTAGTGCTTTATAAGTCATCACTACCACCTGGACTTCAACTGGAAGCCAGTGCAGATGGTACAAGACCAGGGTTATGTTTGCATATCTGCTGGTCTCTGCTAGCAACCTGGCTGCTCTGTTGTGAACCGATTGAAGTATCCGGACCATCTTCAAGTGCAGTCCCACTTAGAGCATGTTACAATAGTCCAATAGGAAGGTTACCAAGCATGGGTCACCATTACTAGACTCTGCTCATCCAAGTTTTTCTAATTCTTTAATTTAATTTTTTATTTGAAAGCAAAACAACTATGATAAAACAGAACAAGCTAAAATAGACAAAATTATGAAGGGAATTCAATACAGATCCAATCAGTACAATCAACCCTCAGAATCTATCAACCAACATATCATAAAAATGTAATACAAAAAAAAATCCTTAATCTACACAACAACAGATCCTCCAATCACTTCAGATCCTCCGCAGCTTTCCCTATCTTTTTAAACTCTTCAGATCCACTTATCCTGCTGCACATTCCTCTAACAATAGTCTAACCAGAATACTCCACCAATCCATTTCCCCATTCTTCAATTGTTGAGGCCTCCAGTGATCTCCATCCAGAACCAGCTCCAATCGTAACTCTGACATTCCCTGAAAGGCTCCCTGACACTATATTTTTAAGACTCATGAAAAGCTGATTTAAAAGAAAAAAATCAATGCAATAATATTAATGAAAAAGATCTTCATTTTGTCTCTAAAACTCAATCTTCTAGTTCTAGAGTAGAGACGTTAAACAGCTTTGCAAATAAGACGCCGTCTGTCAACAAAAGATTATCCATTTCAGAGTCCCTTCAAAATATGCAAACAAAGATGCCTTAAGAGTTCAAGCTGCATCAAAGTGGTGTGTTATTCCCATGGCAAAGAAAATGTCAATATATAAAAAGAAATAATAAAAACTAAAAGAAAGATAAAAGGAAAAGAAAAAAAGGATTAAGTGTGTGTGTGTGGGGGGGGGTTGTTTACTATTTCCAGTATTTGTTTGTTTATTAAAAGCTTTTCCCACCAGGGGAAAAAGACCACAACCCATCTCTGTGTGACAGCCCCTCACATACCTATATGTCACTAACAGGTTCCCTATGAGTCTCCTCTTCTCCAGGCTGAAGAGAATAAGCCATTTTTTTAAATATTTTGGCTGGTTCAGAGAAAAATGGACAGGGGTTGGTAGATATTTAATACTAACCTGTCTGTTTGGAACTGTATTGAGCTTTACAATTGTGCAGAGCTGTCTTTAGGGGATTGGAGTTATGTTTTATATGTATGAGAAGTCTGAAGTTCTGGGTGCAATTTATGTTCATACCATATCAATTTCCAGGTACTATGGTTTGGAGAAATCCAACCCAAAAATACTTTTAAAAAATAGATGGAGCAGATTTTTCACATACCCCTAGGTGTTGCATAACACCAGTAAGCTGCACATTCTGTCAAATGGTTCATTAAGCTAAATTAATAAAAAATTCTTTACTTGTTAAGCTGTATCCCATGTATATTGATCATTCCATTTTTCACACTCAGGCCAATGCACCATTAAACATTTCTATGGGTGATTTAACTTTGTGTGTGTTATGTTTATGAATCAATAGCAAATTCCCTTAAGCTGGAAGTAAAGTCCATGTTGTTTGATGGAGAAAATAATTTCTGGATGCATATTTATATATTTCTGTAGATCCATGGATAGCTTCATAAACATGTACAAACTGCTCCTGAATCCTGAGTAATATTTTAACTGTGAGTTAAATTAATATCATACCAGAATGAAAAGAAAAGCACAATCTAGCTTTGTTAGCTGCCTAAAACAGCATTTAAGAGTTGCCCTTTTAAAGTTATTGTGAATTTTAATGTGTGCTTAAAACCAATTTGGTTTTAAATCTTGCATGCTAACATTTAAAAATCATTTTAATGCTTTGCATTTTAAACTGCATTTTTTTGTTTTGAAAACTACCTGGAGAGTTTCAGATATTGGGTAGTTTATTAGATAGATAGATAGATAGATAGATAGATAGATAGATAGATAGATAGATAAAGGCCGGCAAGAATCTCAGTAAGGAATCAGGTTTCCTCACTTTACCAGACCAGGTTGAGTAATAATATAATGCATCCACTGTTTCCCTATCATATTAGGAGTGACGATTGTGTAAATGGGCATCAGAAGACAATATGGAGCCCCTTTAAGGAACTGTGAAGGCAGCAGCTTTTCACTGACATGACTCTTGGTTCTGGACTAACCCAGCTCATCCAAGCCTAACCCAGATTATCCTGTCCAGGAAATAATTTGTTCTAACTTTTTGTTCTATCTGAGCCTTCCAGAAGCAACATGTCTGAATGTTCATAAATTCTGTGTGCTGAGTTATTATATTTTTGCTTCCTAATTTGTTGTTCTGTCCTGATTTGATGTTTGGACCTAGCATCTGGACTTGTTTCATGGCTTCTGTTCCTGATCTCTCTACAGACTAGTGCTAGTGGTCCAGTTTTGGTAGTGTCACAAGTGACATTTTGCGGTGGAAAAAAAGAATCAGATCAATGATGCCATGTTTCTTCCTTCTGTGCTTGCTTCTTCTTACTGGCCTGGTAAATATTTCAGCTATCCATTCCACATGAACATTAAAAATGTAATAATAACCTCCCTTAGCATAACCTTGACAGCATAGAACATGAATTCCCATCATTTACTGTCAGGTAAAGCACGGTGTGTCTATATATCTACTAAGAAAGGGAAATGAAAGTCAATCCATAGATAAAGGCTTGCAGGAAATTTGGATACTTCCTCAATATTATTTTCTATTGCTGAAAGGTGGCTGAGGCTAAGGAATATTTGTGTTTTTGTATGTTCTCATGAGCAATTTATTCTTTCACTTCCATGCTGAACATGAAGTTTAAAATGGAACCAAAGCAAATGAATCTCTTAGGTTTATTGTGGATCTTAGAGATTTGGGGATATGTAAACAGGAATTTCACTGTTATCCTTATCAATTAGCCATGGTGATTACATGGATATTCCAAATCCAATGTTTTACCCATTATTGTTTTCACTTGATCTGATTGAAAGATTCTGCTGCTCCTGCTGTAGTCCCTCTTTCCTTTTCTCTGACCAGAGAACATTTGGATCCAGCCATAGATCTTCACTTCCTATATTTTCTGGGTGAAAAATGACAAGTGGAAATAAACATGACTGTAATAAGATTCCATACATGGCTTTGGATCTATATTCAGCATGCTAGTTTATAAATTTATAAATTGTTCATTGCTGTGCTGTGAATTACTTTGTCAGGGAAAATCGAAATGCTATAGCAGTTTGTTCCTATGGGTGGAAGGTACCCTCACTAAATGAAAGTAACACAGGGGTAACTTCTCAGTTTAATTTCCAAAAAAAAAAAAAAAAGATTTATATTAAGGTCAATGCATTTGTAACTTAAATGTACTTCATAAGGAGATTTAGCAGTAAGTTGTATAATAATTTCTGTTCACCCCCCCCCCCGTGTGTGTGTGTTGTTCAGAATGGATGTCCTAACATGACAAAATAAAGATTTAAAAGGAATACTGTACTCTTCATATTGATTAAGTCTCTTGGTTATCTATAAGTCATCTATTCACTTTCAATTTAAATTTCATGTTCTCTCTCCTTCTTCCTGTATTGATAGGAGATAAGTAAATATCAACTAAAATTAGAAAGAAATGTGTTAATGAATCCTTCTTGGGAATATTCAGATTAGGGAGAATTCATCCATCCAGATGAATTGAGTACTGCTGCCTAGTATGCTTACTCCATTCCAGACCTTGAATTACAGTGACAAAATCTAAAGATGGATGAAAATATATTAGTTCATATTTTAATGCCATAAATACTTTCTTGATTTGCATTAATGGACCACTGTGTGAACTCCAAAACTCGCTAGCCTTTGAAATTCTCACGTATCAAAATTTGGAATAGAGCTATCCAATGGGAGCACACAAATACATAGTTGTTCTTATTAAGGAAAATGATATTTTAAAATGCATTATATTGGGGAAACAGTTTGCAAAAATTAAGCAAACACATTTATTGATTTACATGTGAACATTAAAAAACTACTCAGAGTTGACATGAACCAAATGGAAAAACAGAAAATAATCTCAAAGACTTAGATGAAATGAATTTAAAATTGAAAAAAAAAAAAGAATTTAAAAATCCTAAAATTGACATAACCATCCATTCCTACTAAAATATAGGCAAACACAGGCAATTTTAGTTATGTTTTCTATTTATTTATTTGTAACATTTCTATGCTGCCCCCATCACAACAAAGCCTCAGGGCGGCTCACAAAAAATACAAAAAAGCATACATAAACAATAACAATATAACAATTTAAAAGAAAAAAAAAACATTTAAAATCCCCGGTTGACAATTTGATCCCTCGCTCCTCTGCCACTTTGAAACCCTGCCTGTACTTCTGGCAGTTCTCGGTCCACATACTGCTGGAGCCTAACTTATAGAATTTTGAGCATAACATCATAACTGTGAAATGAGTGCAATGGTGTGGTAGTTTGAACATTCTTTGGCATTGTTCTTCTCTGGAATTGTAATGTAAACTGACCTTTTCCAATCCTGCGGCCACTGTTTTCCAAATTTGCTGGCAGATTGAGTGTAGCACTTTTACGGCATCGTCTTTTAGGATTTTGAATAGCTCAGCTGGAATACCGTCTCCTCCACTAGTTTTGTTGTTGCTAAGACTTTCTAAGGTTTATTTGACTTCACACTCGAGGATGTCTGGCTCGACGTCAGCGTCCACCCCATCGTGGTTATCAGGTATGTTAAGCTCTTTCTTGGGTAGTTCTTCTGTATAATCTTGCCACTTCTTCTTAATCTATTCTGCCCTGCCATTTTGGTCCTTTATCATGCCCATTTTTGCAAAAAAAATGTTCCCTTCATACCTTCAGTTTTCTTGAAGATTTCTCTAGTCTTTCCCATTCTATTGCTTTCCTATATTTCTTTGCACTTATCTCTTCTAGCTATTCTCTGGAATTCTGGCATCCAATTGGGTGTATCTTTCCCTTTCTTCTTCGCCTTACACTTTTCTTTCCTCAGCTATTTGTAAAGCTTCCTCAGACAACCATTTTGCTTTCTTGCATTTCTTTTTCTTTGGGATAGTTTTAGTTGCTACCTCTTGTACAATGTTGTGAACCTCTTTCCATAGTTCTTCAGGCACTCTTTATACCAGATCTAATCTCTTAAATTTGTCACCTCTACTGTATATTAATAAGGAATATGATTTAGGTTGTACCTGAGTGTTTTTTCCTACTTTTATCAATTTAAGCTTAAATTTTATAACAAGAAACTTATGATCTGAGCCAATCAGCTCCAAGTCCTGCTCTTACTGACTGTATAGAGCTTCTCCATTTTTGACTGCAAGGCACATTATCAATCTGATTTTGATGTTGACCATCTGGTGATGTCCATATGTAGAGTCATCTCTTGGGTTGTTGGAAAAGATTGTTTGCTATGACTAACATGTTCACTTAACAAAATTCTGCCAATCTTTGCCCTGATTCATTTTGTACTCCAAGGCCAAACTTGCCTCTTATTCCAGTTATCTTTTGACTTCCTTCTTTAGCATAGCAAACCCCCTTGATGGTAAGGGCATCATTTTTGCTGTCAGTTCTAGAAGGTGTTGTAGGTCTTTGTAGAAGGGATCTACTTCAGCCTCTTTGGACTTGGACTACTGTAATGTTGAATGGTTTGCCTTGTATTGGAACTGAGGTCATTCTGGAGACTGTACTCCATAATTGCTTTTCTGACTCTTTTATTGACTGTGACGGCTACTCCATTTCTTCTGAGGGATTCTTGCTTGCAGTAGAATGGTCATCTGAATTAAATTCACCCATTCTTGTCTATTTTAGTTCACTGGTTCCTAAAATGTCTATGTTCAGTGTTGTCATCTCATGTTTGACCATATCCAGCTTATCTTGATTCATAGACCTTACATTCCAGGTTCCCATGCTGTATTGTTCTTTACAGCATCGGACTTTCCTTTCATTACCATATAAATCCACAACTGAGTGTCCTTTCAGCTTTGATCCAGTTGCTTCATTCTTTCTGGTGCTACTAGTATTAGCACTCTGCTCTTCCCCAGTAGCCCATTAGACACCTTCCAACCTGAGGAGCTCATCTTTTGGCATCATTTGGCTGTTAACTGGCCAAGATGACCACAATAACAGAGTTGCAAGAGGAGGACCACACAACAGCATTTCAGCTGTTCTGTTACAGGTATGGGAATGAATGCATGATCAAGAGCAGCCATGCTGGTTTGAGAACATTTAAAGCACATCTTAGTCATGCTTTTTAAATCTGAAATGCTTTCCCTTGCTGCTCTTCGGTCTTGAAATGTTCCTGTGAAACAGTAATCTGCAAATCAGTTTCCTTGCTAACTTGTCACTGTTTTGTCTTCCATTTGCTTTTGCTTTTCCATTATTGTTCTCCATTTTTATGATTTAGGTGATACAGATTCACTATTGGAAAGCTCTGATAGTCTCATAATAAGAGAAACACTTTATACAAAAGGGGAGTGACAGTTAACTCCAAAGACTAATATAATCAAAGCCAAGTAAGGGTGTATGCATTTTGAAAAGAAATTTGTATTTGGCACTTCTGTGCACTTAGTTGAAGGAACACTTCTTTACTAATAAGAATGTGAAATACATAGCTACATATTCTGGTGTGTTCATGCATTAAATAATGCCAGACAGGTTTTATCTCTCCTCATTTGAGATTATTGTTCCTTTAGCTGTAACAAATGAGCACTTGTACTGAAACTAGACATTGCAGTAGACGCAGGCTTGTCACTGCCAGAACCAGAAAGTCACCACATCATTCTCTTTCTATTTTGTATAAAATCATGTGACAGACTAGTTCACCATGCCATACATTTTTCTCGCTCACCATAGTAGTGTCTTCTGTCCATAATAACCTGAATGGAAATTGGTCCAGATCGGATTATTTTGGTAACAGATTAAAAGCCAGGAAGCAGAGATAGGGGATAAATGGACCGTTCTTAACACAGAAAGATTTAAAAAAAGGAACCCCAAAAATCTTGCATTAACACCCACTTCACCACACAGTAGTATGTCGTGAGAAGTGAAATGGTCAAGTTTGCACATCATTCCAAATAATTCAGAGTAGTAAAAACAAAAATGAATTGCAAAGTGCTCCAAAAAGGTTATTTTCATCTGGGTTACAGAGTAATATAATCTCAAATGTGGGTTAGTGTAACTAAGTGTAAATTCATGTAAATTGGGACAAAATATCCAAACTTCTCATGTACACTGATGGAGTCTGAGCTCCACGGGAAGCAACTCAATGTAAAGGATAAAATCTATTACAGGAATCAAATTAAGAGGAAGTGAACAAAAATAAAATTGTCTATTCAATAACTGACAAAAAAAACCCCATAATGTGACTATAATTGGAATACTATGTACAGTTCTAGCAACTACATCTGAAAAGGGATATTGTAGAGCTGAAAAAGTGCAGAAACAGGGACTAGAATGATCAGGGTACTGAAATACCTTACTTATGAGAACAGACTGACAGCACCAGAGACTATTTAGCCTCGAAGGAAAGGAGGGCATAATAGATACATATAAAATAATGCAAGTTGTAGTGAACATGAATAGTGAGAAATGTTGTTCCTGCTCAAATAATACTAGGAGTCAATATCATCCAATTAAACTGAATAGTGAGAGATGTAGGACAGGTGAGAAAATGTGCTTTGTTAGGTATGGTATATGGTATATATGCCACCAAACTGGATGGCTTTCAGTGGGGATTTGGTAAATTCATGGAAAATGAAGTCATAATTAGTAGTCTAGGCTAGCTCCACGGGGAACAACAGTGGGAGAGGCCATTGCTCTCATGGCCTGCTTTTTGGTTGCTAATAGAAATTTGGTTGGCCACTGTGAGAAACAGGATGCTGGTCTAGGAACCTCTTTAAAGGAAGTAGCTCTCTCCCTATGGGGAATTTTTTTCTCTGAGTTCTCAGAGAAAGTTGGTTTTAAAATGAGGCAAGAATGTGGGAGTTCATTGCTGCATCGCTAGATCACGCTGTAGTTACGCCCGCCGTGACAGCCAATAGTATTGTACTTTCCTGTGTACCATATAAGGCTTGTGACCATATAAAGCTATGTGTAAGCTTCCTGTATTCTGCGTCTGCGCAAAAGCACTGGGGTGTTGGCTGCCTTGTACTTGACGGCGATTGACTGTAGGCACATACCTCTGTAACAAACTGTGAAGTAATAAATGGAGGTGCCGGTGGTGACGGGGGAGCAGATTGGATTGAAACAAATTCCTTTGTTCCCCTGAGAACTCAACCGAGCATGCTTTGTACCTAATCTCTCGACTGCAGTGTTTTCTTTCTTTCTCAAACTTTCTCGCGCCGATTGTCGGAGCCAGTACTCCAACACAAGAAGTGTTCACCCATCACTAGTAACATCACGAGGAAAGTTGTTTTGGGTAAACGTACACAGTAATGATGTGGTACATTTAGTATCACTGGACATTACAATGGAGAGAGAAAGACACAACGTTGCTGGTTCATTTGTGCTTTTGGTGGTTTGTTTTGCCTTTGGTAGCAGGCCTGTTTCTGCAATAACAAATTGCACATCAGAGTTAAGGCATTTCCCTCTGTCTAAATGGCAGAGAAGCAGTGAGCAACTTCCAGGAATCAGTGGGTGACCTTGGTCTGCACATTCCACCAGGGACTTGCACCCCTTTCTTCACTGCCACTACTGTACTAGCAAGGCAAAATAGACATGGCAGCTGGCATTTACAAAGATAATACTCTTCTTCACTGGCAGTGTGATGCACACAGATTTTGGTAGGAACATCACATAACAGAGGACCAGGAACAGGCTCACTCCTACACTGGGTTAAGCAAATTGGAAATGCTTAATGTTTCTGCCTGTTCTTTTCTCTGTTCCTGGAAACAATGATAGTTTCATTTCAGATCTTACCAAAGCTTCCATCAAAAAGGAGCAGACAGAACAGCTACTTTCAGTTACATTTTTAAAAATCTATAAAACAAGTAAGGTAAGATCCTTTTTGTAAGACTGGAAGAGAATGGTTTATTCTAACCACAAAAGAAAAGCAATATTTTTCAAAGCATTTAATGTTCCAAAAAAGCATGTTTTAGCAAAGCTGCACAAGATAAAAGGCTTTCAGATTCATTTAGTCTGGAAAGGTGTCAGTTTGTGTTCTGATCTGTGAAATCTATAGCTCAGGCAAAAACAGTAGGCAATTAGCAACTGATGCTTTTCACAGTTAAAAGTCAATTGGAGCCAATTAAGCTCCCCTTAAAAATAGGACTTTTGTAAATATGGTCATGAAAATAATCCATCTAATTGCTCTAGGTGTCATAAATACTGGGAAAAATTTTACAATTGAAAAATGAATATAAGTTGCATATATGTATAACATTCACACCTATTTTAGTGCTAAATTTAGCAGCCTTTCTTAATACTGGCTGTGCATTTCATTCAGCCAAAGGCCATCTCCTAAATTTACCTGATTCAGAACATCTCTGAATTAAAGCAGGTCCTCTGGAAAACATACTGAATTGGAACCCTTCCAAAGCTTTTTTAGTTATTCAGAGGGTGATAGAGAAGTATGCAGTTGTGTCTGCAACTACATATTCATATACAAAAGATTTTTCTCTATGATTGCCATATTTAAAGAATACTACATCTCAAAGTGTCATCTAATTCTGTCAAACAACGATAAAGCTATAGTTGTTTTCTGATTTCCATTTATAGTCAGAGAAAGGGACAATGCTTGGAATGTCCAAACTGAGTTGAATTGGTCAGCCACCAAATCTTTCTAAGGTAACTCCAACTTAATATCTATGTTTAACTAAATATGTATATCCGGATGATGGGGCTGGATGGGATAGTTCCACTTCTCCATTGACATATGACATACGTTTGTGTGTGCTTGTAATTCTTAGACTGTAACGCTATGCTCACATAAATGCCAATGAATTCAAGTAGATGGTACACCTGTTTTAGTGGTTATATGCATGGAGACACATGGTCAAAAGCAGAATCTGCTAACTCTGGGACTGTAGCTGTAGATGTGTTATTCCTGTTCTCCTCTCCGGTTACAGCTTGGACCCATGTGTTCCTGCTTGCTCATCCACCGTGTCTTCCAAACTAACAATCATGTTGTGTAAATGCCAAATTGTTTCAGAATAAGATCATGCTCCTCTGTGATCCAATCATGGGTGGGACAACTGATCTGGAATATATTTCAAAGATCTGAGTAGATGAGCTGCCTGGGGCTGATCACACCCAGCCATGTTGACTTAGGTCCTTGGTGCAGCATTTAGACATAATGGAGGGATGGTAGTACCACTGTGGTTCATTGCACATTCAGCTCCATCATCAGAGACGTAGGCTTAGTTCAGCCAGCCAGACAGGTCTGGGATGCTGCTAGAGTAGAATTAACCTTGCTGCCCAGAAGCCTCCCTAACTGAGCTAGCCAAGCCTTGAGCAAGATGGTGGAAGAACCAAGGATGATAAGTCTTGGCAACTTCAACATCCACAGTGAGGTTGGCTCTGGTCCTGCTTCAGACTTGATAGCTTTTACAACAAGCACAGGGCTATTCCAAGTTGTCACTCGTCCAGTGCACATAGTGAGACTGATCATCCATTTAATCTTTGCTGCAGTGATACCATAGTGGTTTGGGGTAGTGGGCATGGTTATAATAGCCCAGTTGTTATATTCAAACCACTGTCTGGTAATTTGAGTATGACAAACTATCACTGCTGGGACTTGCAGTGGCAGTTTTCCTACAGGGGTAGGGAAATGATTAGAATGGTTCACCCTCAAAAACATGCAGAACCCAATGGCATACTGAATGCTTTTGTGGATTTTCCAGTAGACAGAGCTAGTGATCACATTGAAGACCTTGTTTCACTGTGGAATGGAGATATGCAAAAGGCACTACCTCTAAAGGATCAAATGCATAGTTTGGAAGAACTTGTGGTTCATCTTTGTTACTGGAAGCCCAAATATTCTCAGTAGCTGGAAATGTTCTTTTATCAGCCTTAGCTAGTATATTAGCTATGTCTACTCCTAGACCATGATTGGCAATGATGGTTCAGGCACTGATAACTTCAGTGCTAAATTATTGAAGTGCACTCTGGGGAATACTCTTATGATAGGTCTGGGTGGTGCAGCACCCAGTCCATTGCAGAATGGACTTGTGAGGCTGCTGTCAGGGGATCCTTGCAGCAGCACTGAAATCCTCTCAACATTCCTTTACTAAGAAGAATGGCACTGGCAATCAATAAGCTAAGAACAGTCATTAAGTTTCAGGTTTTGTTCTGAATGCATAAAGCCTAAAATATTTGGAACAATTTTACCTAAAGGATTGCTTTTTCTTATACGCTCTCAACATCTGCTAAGATAAGTCATCATTCATAGAGTCATAGCATCATAGAATAGTAGAGTTGGAAGGGCCAAAGGCCATTCCCCCCCCCCCCCCCCCCCCCCCGCCGCTGTTGCAGGACACCAAATCACACCATCCCATTTAGATGGTGATTAGAATCTCTTGGTTTGTCCCTGTTTCTTTTTTTTTAATAAAGATTTTTATTTAAAAAAAATTAAACTAAGAACATCAATCATCAAATACATTGGACGTACTGGGTCAGCCCCGTATAACGTATCTTTTTAACATTCTATACTCAAGTTCAGATCAATTTATAAAAATTTAAAAATATCTTTAAATCTAAGCCAAGTCCCGTTTCTCCAGCCAATCATAAAAAAGGTCCCAAATTTGATAGAAGTCAGTATCTTCTTTCTCCTTCAGTAATAGAGTCATTCTGTCCATTTCTGCACAGTCCAGAATCTTTTTTAAAATCAGTTCCTCAGTGGGTAATTACTCACTCTTCCTGTATTGAGTAAGCACAATCCTCGCCGCTGTGATTAAATGTAGTATCAAATACATTTCTTGTTTGCTAATATTTTCCGGTATAATGCCTAACAAGAAAATTTCAGGTTTAAAAGCTAAGGGTTTTTGTAGCATTTCCTCAAGCCATTTGTGCATTTTAATCCAATACTTTTTCACACATTCACAGATCCACCACATATGGTAAAAAGTGCCCACATCATGTTTACATTTCCACCATCCGTTTGACATATTTGGAAACATCCTAGCTAATCAACTTGGCAACAAATACCATCTATAAAACATTTTATATAAATTTTCTTTATACAAAGTTGCTAAAGTTACCATAATGTTTCTTTCCCATAGCTTTTGCAACTTTTCTAATTCAATATTATATCCAAAATTTTGTGCCCATGTTATCATAGTTTCTTTAACCTGTTCCCCTTCCATCTTCCTGTCAAATAAGAACTCATAAATTCTTTAAATCATTTTCTCATCTGTTTTTAGCATCACTTGATCAAAGGCTGTTAGGTCTTTATAAAACCCCCATATTTTACAGTCTTTAGCATATCTTGATTGCATCTGCACCTTATACCACCAAGAGATATTGAGTCCCTGTTCTTGTGTTTCTTGATCTAGTTTCAGGCCTCCATCCTTATCCAAAATATCATCATATCTTATGATCCCTTCAAAATTCAATACATTCGGATACACAAAGGCTTCCATTGGTGAAAGCCATCTTGGTAATTTATTATACAATTTTGACTTTAACTTTTCCCACACTGACATTAATGATCTTAAAAAAGTCCCATGAGATTTAACCTTCTTGTACCACATATAAGCATGCCAACCCATTTGCAAATCATGACCTTCAAGATACAAGATTCTCTTATTTCACAAGGTTATCCATTCTTTTAGCCAAGTTAAAATAGACGCTTGATAATACAACATCCAATCAGGAAGAGCAAACCCCCCCATTCTCTTTAGATTCCTGAAGCATTTTTTATTTAATCCTTGGTTTCTTTTTTCTTCAAATAAATCTCAAAATTTGAAGATTTAGATCCTCAAAAAATTTTTTATCAATTTTTACAGGAATCATTTGGAACAAAGACTAAAGTTTTGGTAGTATATTCATTTTAACAAGTGCTATTCTTTCCATCAAAGACAATTGTAAATTGGCCCATTTTTCCAGGTCACCATTAATATCCTTCAATAATTTATCATAATTGTCTTCTTTCAAAGTTGTGCATTTAGCTGTAAGACAGATTCCCAAGTATTTAACCTTTTTAACTATCTGCAAATCCACTTGTTCTTGGAGTCTTTTTTTCTGATCTTGTGTACGATTTCAACTAAAAGTTTCATTTGTTCTTTATTTATTTTCATCCCTGTAACTTCACCATATTCTTCAATCTGTTGTAAAAGTTTAGGGATTGTTACAAAAGGTTCCTCTGTTATGAAGACCAAATCATCTGCGAATGCTTGCAATTTATAATTTTCATCTCTAATTTTAGTACCTTTAATGTTCTCGTCTTCCCTAACAATTCTATTCAAAACCTCTAAAGTCAGAATGAACAGTAGGGGTGACAATGGGCATCCTTGCCTTGTACCCTTTTGTATCTCTATAGCCCTTGTACGTTCTCCATTAATTAAAATCCTGGCCGATTGTCTTTGATAGATACTTAATATCGCATTCATGAATTTTCCCCCAAACTCCATTTGGTCCATCTGTTGCATCATGAATTGCCAATTAATATTATCAAAGGCTTTCTGGGCATCCAAAAACAGCAGGGCCATTGATTATTCCATGTGTGTCTCATAGTATTCCAGAATATTCAAGATAGTCCTCAGGTTGTTCTCCTGTTATTTCCATAGTTGTTACTTCTTGATTCAATAATTTTTGATACTTTTCTGGTAGTTTTGGTAAGTCTCCCTTTCAAATGTATTCTTGTGCCTTCTCGATCAGAATCTCCTCCTTCCGGTATAACCTTGCGAAAAAGTCTTCAGCTATTTTCTTGATTTGTGTATTTTGTACCTGTAGTCATCCTTCTCTGTCTTTCAGTTTCAAAATCAGTCTCTACTCTCTTTCTTTTTTTACTTTATATGCTAGCCATCTCCCCGGTTTATTAGCATTTTCAAAAAAATTCTGTTTGGCCAATTTCATTCGCTTAGTAATTTCATTTGTATCCAAGAGATTCAATTTATGCTTTAAAGTATTCATTTGGACCCTAAGATTTCTTTTTGTTGGATCCTCCTGCAGTTCTTGTTCCCGTTGCCGCAGTTCTTCTACTAATGTTGCTCGCTCTTGCTTTTTCTTTTTGCTGAGTAAGTTATTACAGTCCCCTGACATAGGCTTTAGCAGTATCCCAGACATTCTGTAAAGAAGTTTCTTCCGCTTTGTTTATTTGAAAGAATATTTGCATTTCTTTGCTTATCTCTTCTCTAATTTTTATCTTTTAGTAACACTTTATCTAAGCTCCATCTGGGCATCCTTGCAGCTCCTTTCAGTGATATAGATAGATGGTTTTGATCTGCCCAGACATTTGTCTCCATTTCAGCCTCTATTAAGCCTGGAGTTATCCAAACCATATCAATTCTAGACCATGACCTATGTCTGTTTGAGTAAAAAGAATAGTTGGCAGAAGTTGGGTTTTTATGCCTCCAGGCATCTATCAATCTGAATTCTTCAATCATGCTGGAACAAGACTTTGAAAGCATCCTCCTACCCTTATTTCCTTTACTTTCACTCTTGTAATTGATTCCCGTATCCACAATTGCATTAAAATCACCCATTACGCACATAGTCTGGTAGTGCACTTGCAAAAGTAACGTATGTAATTTTTGGTAAAAAGTTTCCTGATGGTCATTTGGTGCGTTTATTGCCACTAAGAGCACCTTTTTAAGTTTAATTGTAATTTCTACCATCAGGATCCTACCATCCTCATCAGCAAGAATATATTTAGGGTCCAGGTTGGCCCTGTTTCCAAGGAAACAATACCTTGCCCTTGACATCAGTATGGCATGCTCCCCGTGAGCATCGGAAATGTACCATCCCATTTAGACCTAGCCTCAGTTCATTTCCATTTTAGCCTTCTTGATGACATTCCTGGAGTTCCTTGCTGCTTGCCTATATTCTTCCTTTGTAGCCTGGCTTTCCTTCCACCTCCAATACATGTCCTTTCATGTTTTCAAATGATCTCTTAGCTTTTTGTGAAGCTACACGGGCTTCCTATGTTGTCTACTACTCCTTTCCCTTGTTGCAATTGTTTGTAGTTGTGCCTAAAGCTTTTTTTTTTTTTTAGATATCCCACCCTTCTTGGCCTCCTTTTCCCTTTAGAGTGGCTTACCATGGGAAAAGGTAATCATTGCCCTGAAATTGTTGAAGTTGATTTTTTTTAAATGCAGGGTACATGTTTGACTACATTTA